TGAAAAAAGTGAAACAATTTTTTTATGTACACGGTTAACCGAAAATGTGAGTGGTTACACACGGCGACCTTTAGCAGTGATACAAACGTGATGCACGTGCGCGATTGCACCGATGCAATCGCATATACATCCCAAGAGTAGCGATGCAATCGCGCGTCGATTAGCGACTCCATGGCTACTACTGCATCGCTGCTAAAAGTCGCGTGTGAACTGCTCGCGCGCTCTAATGAATGAAGATTTTTCCACATTTGTTTTGTTTTACCTGTACGAACATCACGTAAATATGACCGGGTCTTTTTGAAATATCGTATGTCGGATGATATTAAAACATGCTTGAAGCCCGACACGTAGTAACCTGTTTATCAACCGTAGCACGTTACACTAAAGATTTTCGTGAGCTTTTCTTGTCATAAAAAATAATAAAAGGCTGACAATCCAAGCTATTACGGCCACTAAATCGCGGAGGCTATGGTACTAAATCCCAAGTGTTGTTGAAAGGAAGACATATGAAAGTGTTGGGTTTTATTTTTCTGTGGTCTTGTGAATATTCATTCGCTCTTTAAGGTTATAAGAACGCTAATGGTACATACGTTCGTTTAGTAGGTACTTCAACGTAAAATGTATTTTGTTTTTTGCTTTTTGTCTGATTTGTTTTATTTTGTGTTTTTTTTTTGGATACGTTATTTCGTTTATTAATTCCTTTTACTTTCTTTTGTTTGTCTGTGTTATCCATGTGTTATCAATTTTTGTTTTTTTTTTGTATCGATGTGCTGTGGCGTTGCAATAAATGTCTATAAATGTAAATGTCACTTTCCATAAAAAATAGATTTTTGATAACAATAGAAAAAAAAGTATTTAAACTGTTTTTTCGAAATTAAATCGCGTATATTTGTTTTTTCCAACAAAGTAACATTTCGTTTTTTTTGTCTGAAAAAAACAAATAATTTACGCAATTTAGATCCCAAACAATTTTAGACTATTTTTGAAATACTTTTAAAATCCAAAGGACCATATTATTTACTTAGATTTTACGTATACGACTCCCTATTTAAAACTACATAGTTTGTATTTCAATATCAAAAAGGAAAACATTGGGAAGGAGGAACCAAATTCCTTCCTGCGAATGATTGTTAAAACAATGGCATAAGGATGGAGTGTTCCGGAATTTTTTAGTCGTTCGATGGAGGAACGGCGAGAGTGTATCTAAATTCAAAAGTTACTGTGTACAATTTCTTAAATGTATCAATAAGAATATCGAGAAGCGGGTCGCTTTTCGCGTCGTATTTATGGAACTTCGATTCTACAAGGGAACCGCTGGCAATAAGTCTCTTTGTTTTTCGCTCCACCCAGCCAACTGGTATAGCTCAGAGCTCTTGCAAAGGTACAACATTACTCCATACACGAGGAAACTTCTGATTGATAAAGATTTAAAAGCTATTTTTGTGTGAACTACCTCCTCACCTTGAAAACGACGCCAAATTTCTCGACAGCATTTATACCAAGCACCCGACGTAGTGATCAAAGTTGAAGATGGACGATAAGTTCAAACCAAGTAGCTCAAGGTGGTCACTTATCGATACGGACTTATCTCGGAAAGTTGAAGTGAGGTGGAGGGTACTCTGTTTTGCTGAGAAAAGGCACGCCTTTGTTTTTAAGTAATACTAAAATTAAAACCAATTTTACTTTATATTTAGATTTTAAAATAAATGACTCGTTGATCTACCGTCCTTACAAAAGCAATATGCAATCGTCAAGACTACAATATAAGATATAATATACTTCCGCATTTCTAAATAAATCGCCAACACAACATTAGACAATCGAAGAATTCTTCCCAAAAACAATAATACGAGAGCTCTGACAATGATGAGTTTCAGTGGTTTCATTTTGTGCGAGAATACAATGGTGATATTGATGGGGGTTACACATATTTAGATGTATAATGTGTGAGTGTGTCGTTAGTTTTTTAATTTATTTATGTCTTCAAATGACATAAATAACATACAAATATCGAAAAGGTTCTCCCAAATTTCTTACCAGTTTATGGGGAGAATTTAGTTGTCACTTTTGTATTACAGTTACTTAACGTAACGAATAACGAACGAACGAACATCTTTGTAACGAATCGCAGCAGTCGGTTTTAGATTGAAATTCTAAATTTAAATGTACTTGTTTTTGGCGTTTTTCTTTGTTATTGTCATTGTTGATTCTGTTTTCGTAGTAGCTGTATAATATCGTCGAAATAAACAGTAAGTAAATTAAAAAAAAAATTGTTACTTTTTTATTATTTTACATAGATTTGAAATGTTATTATCATTTTTTAATCGCTTATGCCACTGCCGGGCAAATGCCTTACTTCTCTTCCTCTGCTCATCGCCACTTAACGCCGCTAGCTCAACACTATCTCTTTTTGGGTTTTCCACGTTTCCGTTTTGCGTTTGGTGGGATCCACTCCGTAGTGATTCTTGCCCTCCGCTCATTTGACATGCGGCAGACGTGTCCCTTTTAATCAACGTCAACGATTTGTCTTTTGGAGCGAAGTATACTGTTCCGTACGTGGTCTGACAGTTTTACTTCCTAGATTTTGCGCTCCACGTCTAGCTGGATACATCCCGAGGAGGTACATTCGTCAAAGACCAAGACTGGGTACAGTAAGCAAGGACGAGGAGAATGAAGTGTTAAGGAAGACCGATGAATAACGTATGAATTAAGTAATCCGACGTTCTTTTTCCATATAAATATGTTATTTGTTTTAAAAATTAATTGCCTGCTGTTGAAAATGTCTGTAAAAAAAAATAATAAAAACAACCACATCACAAGATTCACATATCACATAATCTAGTATACATATTATTTTTAAAAGCAAGAGAGCTTCTTGTGAATGAATTCGTTCAGGGAAATACTGTCACCTTACCTATTTCTGCTGTCGAGCGGTAATGTAGGCTGATGGTCTCCGTGGTCGAGTGGCTTGCATATCGGTTTTCATAGTGTCGCCATCTCTGGAGTCCCGGGCTCGATCCCCGGCCGGGTCGGTGTGGAAAACTAACTTTTCTATATTGTCTTGGATCTGAGTGTTTGTGGTAACGTCGTTGTTTCCGATTTCCATAACACATGGGCTTTAGCTACTTACTTTGGCATCAGAGCAACGTATGTGATGTTGTATGATATTTATTTATTTACTTCATTCCGGTTTTGAAGGGTGAGGGAGCTGGTGAAATTATATGTAAATGGGAACTGTCAACTTACATGTCTCACAGTGTGTCTGTGTCCCTCACATCTTGTGATTTAAAGCACTGAGTGGCACTGCAACTGCTATGATCGGACATGTCGCTTACCACCGACACACGACTTACAGACACACGACTCGTTCGTTCTGTTACTTAGTATCATAAAAAAACCAAGAGACATATTGGAAATGAAACTATTTTTCTGGATTTAAATCGCGTATATTTATTTTATCAAACAAACCAACATTTCGGGCCCTTTACGGGCATTTGTAAAATATAATGTAGCGTAAATTGGAATGTTTCTTTGTAAAATTAAAAATAAGGTATTTAATTAATAACTTTTGTAACTGTAGTGAAAAATAGAGTAGTTTGCATTAATATTAGACATAACTGGTTGATAACTCTACCATCTAAGTCAACCGTGACCATGGGACCTGTAAAGGGCTCGGAACATTAATTTGTTTGAAAAAATAAATATCCGCAATTTAAATCCGGAAAAACAGTTTCATTTCCTATGTATAACAATCGCGAAAATCTAAGAACTCGATATATTAGACATATTACTTTGCGACGACTTCACAAGACAAATGAAAAGCACAACATGTCTCGTAGATGTAAATAAATAATACGAATAAATAACTTAAGTAAATAATTATATAATGAATAACTAATGAGCGAGCACCTAAATAATGAGTATAACAGAATGTGCTCTGTGCTGTTACGGTATCCGTCAGTCTCTCAGCTTATTATCGTCTCACTGAGTGCTACGACGCTTCAGTAGATTCGGTAATGTTAGCTTCTTTTAGGATATTTATAGTTGTTTGGTAATTTATAATCACTACTTCAATATTCTTGTAGCACGTGAAAGATTCTTTTCACTACATTTCTTTTACAAATTTTAAATAGCTCATCATACTTCACACTCTCTATAAACTTTCTTATCGAAACCTATTTGTAGTAAACTAAACTTACTAAGGTATGTCTCATAAACAGTGCGTACCATACGTTCCTATAATTGTTAATTGTAACTTCAACAAGAGAATGATAGAGAGTGTACAAAACTCGCTAGAGTACAATATTATTTATCTAATAATCTCTCTGTCTAGTACATACAAGCGTAGTTGTTTTTAGATAGTACTGACCAAGTAAATAGATTATTTGTCTACCGTGACATTCACATTATCTACATGTATAATTACTAACTTGTTATATAGCTGGATAGATCCAAGCAATGTCATCGCGTTGCAGACACTGGAACGCAAAGGCTGTGCTATAGTTTCCCTCTTTTACTTTGAACACATAAAATGTGATGTTAGTTATACTGAGTTATATACGAATAATTTCATTATGTAGTGTTTATCTATTCGTGTCCTGGTATTGCTGTAGATTTTATAACAATGTGAGAAAGTCTTGTCCAGCTCATATAATACATTTTCTAGCAGTAAAACTCTTTGTGACAGTGTTCATCCAGGGAAGTACTGCCACCTTACCTATTTCTGCCGCCAAGCAGTAATATGAACATTATTGCGTTTCCATTATTTACATTTTTGTTATAAACGTAGAGAATGTATGTAGTACGGAGGTCCGGTCACGAAGCTTTCAGCCACGCCTTCTTTGCATTTTTGAGTCAATAACTTTATTAACTTTCATTAACTTTGAAACTACGACAAGTCTATTTTTAAATAACGTATTCATCAAATTATTAATTTTTCGCAAATTCCACTAACGTCTATATTAAATATTAATTGCAAAAGGGTTGCGAAGCCTCATGGTGATATATTCCTGTTACAAGAAAGAAGATGGATGACTGATGTCCTGTATTTTCTGAAAGTAGCAAATGACTCAGTCGATTGTTCTGAACTTCTCTTACTCAAGGCACTAGCCTTTTGAAGTGTGTGCAAACAGGCTGATCTGTGGTCAGGACCTGACAGAGAAGGTCCCTGTCCTTGCACAGGGTATAAATGCTTTTCTCATGGACCGTTCGGGTTGGTAGCTAGGGTTACCATAATCAAAACTTATGTCGAAAGGAACGGACTGTCCTGAGTTCTCTTCTCTGAGTCAACGGTTTAGCGGTGGCAACCGTTAGTTGTGCAATGCACAACGGATATAGTGCCCTTCCCGCATAACCAAGAGGGATTGGTTGGGAGGGTCATTATAATTAAAAAACATGTCCAAGATACGGGAGCTGTCCTAAGCTTGTCAGTAACATTGGTTTGCGTGTTTCAGTGGCTTTATTTCGATATCCCAACATACTTCATTATCCTTAGGCTAAAGTAAACTATAGACGAAATTTCTTCTTCATTCGAGCGAGTGAGTGCCATAACAGAATGGCGAAGCAGCATTATATTGACTTCTCCAGATAGCGATTACTCTGTAATATTTTTTTTTATTAATTTGCTTTAAAATATAAACCAAGTACGAATTCCTTTTATTGATTTTTTCTTCTGAGTGTTAGCACAGTTGTAATGAAAACTTTAAATTATTTGTGTCTCTATATTTGTTATTGTATAGAACTATATAAACTATAATATATAAATATAAATATATAACTATATAAATAAAATAAAACGGTGTCATATGCTTTTCGAAGAAGAAATAATGAGATTCACAACAACTACGTCAACATAAAAAATACAACTAAAATACTTTTTATTAAGTGAAATTTTTCCCATAACCATACGCAAGCAAATGATCACAAAATAATGAAAGTCGACAAGTCTTCACTGATAAATATGACGTTGGTAGATGGTAAAATGTCGAGTAATTCATTATAGAAATCTACAAGTAATCATTCAAGGAGGGGATTCAGAATGTCAATCAAGGTTTTGTGCGAAATCCTGTCGTATAAAATCTAACAGCGGTAATAGATAGTGTCTTAAGACTACCAAAATATATGCGCACATCATTATTTATTTAGTTCTCTTTTCACCTAAGTGTAAGGGAGTCTAAGAGGAAGGTAACATTTTTCATTGTAATTGATAGATTCAGGTGTTACATCCAGACGGAAATCCTTGTTAATAAAAATGGAGGTAAAGTAATTTGCTCCGCGAAGCCTTGTGTTGAATATTTTTACCATGCAGTTAATTTTATTATCCTCCCTCCGCATATAATAATAAAATAAATAATACAAGCGCAACATAGCAGTACAGCTCCGTCTGAAAGTGTTCGTCTAGAGAATTACTGCCACCTTATCTATTTCTGCTGCCAAGCAGTAATGTCAGCATTACCGTATTCCGGTTTTGAAGGGTAACGGTGTTGGTGAAATTACAGGCACATGGGACTTGTCAACTTTGTCTCAGGGTGACGGGCGCAGTGACAGTGCCTCTCAGATCTTTGCGATTTAAAGCTCTGAGTGGCACTGCAACTTTTATGGACAGGCATGTAGCTTACCATCAGGCGCACGACTTGTTCGTCCCGTCACGAAATGCTCATATTACTGCTTGGCGGCAGAAATAGATGGTAGCAGTAGAGCTCCTTGTGAAAGAGTTCGTCCATGGAAGTACTACCACCTTACCTTTTTCTGCCGGCACTTGATATTATGAAAAAAAACTACAGTCACAAACAGCACCACCAAAACTACACCTAACACGTGATTAGCCGCCCTACTCGGCATTTTCAACAGTTGTTGATTGTTCCGTGCTCGACCGAAGAATGAGCACGTTCAGAACAGTTGCCTGTTTATTAGTGGGCATACAAGCACGTCATACTGATATGACCAATAAGAATTGTTTGTATTGGTGGTCATATTTAGTCAGCATAAACACCTTGTACGCAAATTTGCTTGACGTAAATTACGAGCCCTATAGCCCGATCCCACCTACTTTCTTTCATTTGTTTCATTCGATTGTCTAGCATTTTTTCCTTAAACTTCTCTTTTTGGCATAGCTTCCAAGAAAAAAGAATCTAACATAGAGGCGGTCGAGATACAACAATGCTATAAGTATCTTATTTCCACTACACCGGGAAGTATGCCTTACATTTTGAACAATTGTGAAATCTTGTACCGTAATAGAGTCTTCGTATACTACCTACGTAAGGTGGCGTGCGGACGCTTCGGGCTTCGCCCTCCGCTACACCTCAGCCTATGGCCGTAAAAAGTAAACAGTAAATGTTGACTGCAAATTATTATTAAACCGATCCCCACATGCCGATTTTCAGCTGAATTAGAGCAAATTTCCATCTGCCGCCAAAAAACAGAAGTGTTAAATGGCAGCCATATTGAAAAATGGCGAAAAACCAATTTTGATCACAAATTATTATCAAGATCTTCTAGAGATCCCCATATGCCAATTTTCAAAGGGATCTGAGCGATTTTTTTTTCTGTCCCAACGAACGCTTCTATGACGGCCATATTTGAAAATGGCGAAAAACACATTTTGAGCGCAAATTATTATCATAATTTCATCATCGGCATTTCTAGTGGCCTTCAGTGCCAATTTTCAGTCGAATCAGAGCAAATCTTTTTCGGCAGCTATTTTTATAGAAAAACACACTTATACGGCAGGCATATTAAAAAATAGCGGAAAGAAATTTTTGACCCCAAATTACGATTAAGACCTAGAGACCCTCGCATGCCAATTTTCAGCCGGATCGAAGCAAGTTTTTCTTCGGCCGCCATTTTGAAATCGCCATCTTGAATTTTTTTATCCCAGGCAGTTGACCAGTATTACCCTCTATGACATTCTTCGAGCACCTCCTACCTATCTCTAATAGTTTCCGTGATGGGAGGCTTTGAAATTTGTATGGCGGCCATCTTGTTTATTTGAATTCCGAACATTTTTTACTTCCCGCGAAAATTGACCATGGTGTATCTCATATAAATGCACAAAAATCCCCTTCATGTATTATAGTTTTTGCAGGCCGTTGATCACTCGTTTACATTTTCCACATTCCGGTCTTCTCATATTTGATTCTTTGCTTTGGAGCCTATACGCGTGCAACGGTATAAATATATTTTTCCACCATATCGGGAAGTATGCGTTCTATTTTTCTAAGTCAGTCAGGATTTGTAGCTTCATATATGTAGTAGTACAGTCATTTGCAAATTTTAGAACCTTGTGGCGTTAATATCATTAATCAGCCACCATACTAAATTGTCAAAGGAATTCAAGTGAAAAAGTATTAAAAAGTGTAAAGTAGCCATGTTGTTTCAATAAGTATTTAATGATCTCGTCTTCCCGTAATTATCAAATAGTTTATACTCTGTACTTATTCACCTACTTCTGCCGCCAAGCAGTAATGTCAGCATTAGTGTGTTCCGGTTTTGAAGGGTAAGGGTGCTGGTGAAATTATAGTCACATGGGACTTGTCAACTTAAGTCTCAGGGTGACCGGCGCAGTGTAGTGTCCCTCAGAACTTTGCGACTTGAAGCTTTGGGTGGCACTGCAACTGTTATGGACAGGCGTGTAGCTTACCATCAGGCTCACGACTTGTTCGTCCCGTCACTTGATATTGTAAAAAAAAAACTTAATTAATGTTACCGCAGACGAAGTTTAATTTACGCCCCATCGTTACCATCGTTATTAATAATTATTTTATTTTTAGTGAATTAATTTATTTTACGCTTTATTGTCATGTTTCTATAACATAGGGCAATCTCAAAACCCATCTATCAATCTCGTCGCACTTACGGTGCCAACCTACGAAATATCATCAGGAAATGTTCAGAAAAATTCCACGATTTGGAAATTATATTCCGTCCAATATCCCATAGGAATTTGGATTTGACAAGACGCACGCTCCACGTCATTTCGCGAATTTCGGGAGTTCTTGTCGCGATAGTCACTTTCGGGAATATATTTTTTAAATTCGAAGCAATCACACAGATCGCAGAACGCAATCGGCCAAAATAAATATTGATTTTTCTTAAGTAGAAAAGTTACAAATACACACTCGGTGAAAGAAATGGAAGACTCTGCATTTCAATGTATGTTATGCTATTTTAAGCTTTTGTGATCAATTTTAGATGGCAAATTTGGACACTTTAAAACTAGAGTTACACTATGTCTACGCTATTGAAGTCTAGCCAAAATATCAGTAAAATTTTACAACAGTGTAAATCGACCTTGGCAACAATTTTGTTAATTTCATCCAAGAATTGTATGCACAGAAATCTAAAGAAAATTGCATGTATGTGCAAAGAGGTTCGCCACGTTATAATTCATCTTCTATGTTTGTGTCGCATTCTCTGAGGTCCCGGGTTTGATCCCCGGCCGGGTGAATGTAGAAAACTACATTTCAATAAACTCTCGGGGGTTGGTGGCAAGTACTTTAGTTACTTATTTTCAAGTATTTATGTGGTCTGTGCTTTCAACGATATTTATGTTTACTTCGATGTCAGAGCAACGTATGTGATTTTGTTTAATACTTATTTATTATTTATATAGCGATTGTGCTTAGAATCATCGGTAGTTTGTAGAAAGGGCACAAGCGCCTTTTCCAATTATTTTATCAAATGAAAAATTGTTTCAAAATGGCGTATTCGCCTTTTCTACAAAACACCGACGATGTACATAGGGCGCACTATAAGTATCCGTAACTGGCCACTTACGTAAACAATATTTAAAATGTAATTTTAAACACATTTGAAAATTCAACTCTTTGGATGTAGAATGCAGTTTTTTTCATCTGACTGTAACTTGTTTTTACATTGTGGCGTTATTTTAGAAATTGGTTGTCTACATCACCATGGATTTAACTAGCGAAAATTTTCATGGTATGATTTTCTACGACTTTAAGTGTAACTTAACAGCTCAGCGGAGCTTCACTCGGCTTCAAACTGGTTTTGACGATGAAGCACCATGCAAAACGATTATTTATAGCTAGTTTACAGCACTCAAACGCGGTCGTGTGAATCTCAGTGACGAATTTCGTCATGGTCCGCTGCTGTGAACAACAAAAACATCGATGCTGTACGCCGTATGATCAAAACAGACAGGCGTATGACATACCATGAGATTCGAGCATAGGCATGAGTCAAATATAATCAATACTACACAAACATTTGGATGTGAAAAAGCTGTGCTCTCGGTGAATCCCACACAATTTGACTGAGGCTCAAAAAACGGATCGCGTCCCTTGGTGCAATGCCGTGCTTACCAGATTCAATGAAGGGGCGTCAAATTTGGTGTGGGACATAGTAACAGGAAACGAAACATGGATTTATAGTTACGATCCCAAATCAAAGGATCAATCGAGCTTATGGGTTTTTCGAGATGAGCCGAAACTAACCAAAGTGGTGCGCGTGCAAAGTGCCTCTATGCGGATGATTGCTTCTTTTTTTAATAAAACTGGACATGTGGCTAATCTACCACATGTGTGGAGAGAATCGTTGTACCGTGAACAGTGATTGGTACACGACCATTTGTTTGCCGGAAGTTATTGACAAACTCCGTAAAAATAACCGTAATCGCCGTATCATCTTGCACCACGATAATGCCAGTTCTCACATGGCCAGACAAATTAAATTTTGACTGTGAAGAACGTTGACCTTATGAGTCATCCCGCGCACAGTTTCGACCTGGCACCTTGTGACTTTTATTTATTTCCAAAAATTAAGAACCAGTTACGCGGTCAATGATTTTCATCACCTGTCCGAGAGTATGAAAATTATGTCTCAGAGATTGTCACGGAGCAGTGGCATAAATGTTTTCAAAATTGGTTCAGTCGTACGAAAAAGTGCATTAACGCTAATGTAGAATATTTTGAGAAACAATAAATTCATTTTTGACCATTTATAGTATTTTTTTCTTATTCATTTCGGAAACTTATAGTGCGCCATACGTATTATATGTTGAGCTCCTTGTGAAAGAGTTCATTCAGGGAAGTTCTGCCACCATACCTATTTCTGTCGCCAAGCGGTGATGTGAACATTATTGCGTTCCGAATTGGAAGAGTAAGGGAGCTGGTGAAATTAAAGGCAGATAATACTTGTCAACTTATGTCTCAGGGTGACGGGCGCAGGGACAGTGCCCCTAAGATCTTTGCGATTGAAAACTCTGAGTGGCACTGCAACTGTTATGCATTGGCGTGTCTCTTACCACCAGGTGCACGATTTGTTCGTCCCGTCACTTGGTATAATAAAAAAAAATACGACGTAACAATAGAAATCATTGAATTACAAGTAGTTTCATTCAATTAAGAAGAAATTTAAAGGAAATATATACGTGAAAACTGATCGCAAACAGATAGATTAAAAAAGCGAATTGAAATAGAAATAGAAACCATTTATTGCAACATCACATTATAAAGAAAAGGCACACAAAAAAGCTAAATGAAACAGAAATAACACAAAAAACAACGTAATAACAACAAGTTACGTAATACTATACTGACATGTGTGCGGCTGTGGCGTATGCAAAAGGATCCGATTTGGCTAAAGTCACAACCAAGACTAGGCTGTGACGCTGGTTTGCAATGGGCCCTAGTATAAGACGAATAAATACTCATAAATCATGTTCACAATAGGGAGATTCATAGCTTGTAGTGAGGTGCTGCATGTATACTAATTTAAAAAACCTTAAGTTAATACAGAATGTTTACGTTTGGGCCCTTGTTCTGATCAAAAATTTATAAAATAAAACCAGAACATAATAGAAGCAGCTGTTGAAAATATTTAACCATTGCCCATTACGTAGCAAATAAAAACAAATTAAAATGATAACGGATTATTGCACCGTATCGTTACACACCGTAAATCGAAGCGTAATTTAAAACCACGATGAATAAAACCATCCTAATGAAACATGAACACGTATTCTCAATTTGAGACATATAACCAGTTTACGATAAGATAAAAAGACATATAGAACTGTTTTTATGGAGAAGACGCAGTAATTTGGTTTATTTTGATGTGTGGGTGTCGTTGGCGTTTGTTGCCTTAAGCGGTGGGGATCTCAGCAAAGTGGAAGCAACATTTTAGGATAGTACACTTAGTTAAGTAGTTAATTTCTGTCAATATTATACAGCCTATTATCTTCTCTCTGTTTTTTTTTTATATAAATCCTGCAGCATTAGAGCTCCTTGTGAAGGAGTTCGTCCAGGGAAGTACCACTGGTAACGCCAGGTATAGTTTGTCTGAACTCGCACCTCCTTATCTTTCCCGTCCTAATCCGTGCTACGCCAAAGCCACATAAATCGCCAGTGAAATTAAAAATAATTGTATGTGATGTACATTCGAACTGAAAACTGAAAAATCCACATTCGTTTTATTAAAAATATCCCGCATCTCCGCCTGGCATTGAGCCCCGTACGCAATCTATTACATAGTGGCGTTATTGGTGGTCGGCCGCAATTGAACTGGCGAAAGAAGACGAGCTCCACGACGTTTCGGACATAAAGGTTGGTGGTAGCACGGTTTCCATTCCTTTAACTTGCGAGCTCACCTTTTCCAGCAGCTCCTCACGAGCTATCGAAGGTCTGTTTTAAATTTTTTTATTATAGCGTCACCACCTTATCTATTTCTGCCGCTAAGCAGTAATGTGAGCATTACCGTTTCGGTTTTGAAGGGTAAAGGTGCTGGTGAAATTATAGTCACATGGGATTTGTCAACTTCTGCTTGAGGGTGACGGGTGCAGTCAAATTTAAAGTCAAATAATCTTTATTTCACAGGTAAGCAAATTACATCTGAAATGGTTACTGATTAAACTCTACTGCTCATTCGTAAGGTAGATTCCCTTGAGAAGAATGAGCAAGAAACTTTAGGGGTTGCTCTTTTTAAATATACATGGAATACATTTATTATTACAATATTTTGTTTAAGCATTTTAAATCGAGACTACCTGCAAGAGCTAAGCAGGTCATTACCGCGGATATTTGTCATCCAAGTACGCAGAAGCTGTATAATAAATCATAAATTGTTTCACTGTAGTTTTAAACATCGTAAAAGGCAAATGTTAATATCAATCGGAATATTATTATAGAAGCGTAAACGTTGCCCCCTAAATGAATTTGAGACTTTGTCAAGACGACTGTCAAAAACGGCTAGATTATTGTTATTTCTCGTATTAAGTTGTCTGTCACTATTTTTCAGAAAAAAATAATATTTTTCTTAACATAAATAACATTTTCATAAATGTACTGTGACGTTAGTGTAAAAATCAATCAACAGCAGCGGTAGTAGTACCCTTCAAATCTTTGACGATTTAAAGCTCTAAGTGTCACTGCAACTGCTATGAATAGGCGTGTCGCTTACCGTCAGGCGCATGACTTATTCGTCTTTTCACTTGATGTCATAAAAAATGCAGGTTGATAAAAAATGTGAATAATCTCTAAGAATTCAGAAATTTTATAAGGTAACATCTTTCCGGGATCGTACAGTTCGTCTTCATCGTTCGTAAACAGTGTCTAGACTTGATGGATAACTTAATTATATGCATATTACCTACTTTCGTTTTCTTGGGCAATAAATCCGAAATCCGATGAATACACGACGCATAAGTGTTCTATATTTTATTCAAGCATGTGACATCGTATTTTATGCCGACATTTCCTTTTTATGGAGCAAATGAAATTACCCTAAAAGAAGCCTTTTTATATAACTGTCGCTCAGGTTTTTACATAGCGAGCCGTTAAAAATGAAGTTATAGCAATATAAGGCTTTCTTGTACATACATATTTTAACATATGAAGGTACTATATGTCGTATAGGCAAATTTTATACAGAGGTATATTCTGTTCTCCTTATACCTAAAACACCGTAAACAACATCGTAATCGACATTTTTAGCGAAATTGAGTTATTATCATACCTGGAATCAGTGAAACGAGATCTACAACCCCTATAAGCGGTTTTTTTTATAACTGATTTGGTTTCTGTTTTATTGTTAAGCGAAATCACCGTAATTGACATTTTTCTAAAGAAAAAATGTTTAAGTGCCAGTATACTGAAAGTTACCAAAAGGCACACACTTAACATAGCCCCGCACTAGGGAAACCCTGTGTCGTGGGTGCCATGAACACACATATAGACAGCCACAAATTACACCCAAACTCACGAGCGAAATAAATGTAGGCCATACAAATATTTCTCCCGGCCCGGGAATCGAACATGGGTCCTCTGCGTGTCAGTCCGGTATGGTAGCCGTTCGGCCACGGAGGCAGTTACCAACACGAAAATGTGTAAGTTATGCCAAGAAGACATTGTATACCAGAAGTAGGCAACCCGTGGTTCGCGACTATGCTCAAAGGTCCAGTCTTCACTTCTGATAAAGTTTTATTTCACGCCTAATTCGAAGTGTCGCACTGCCACGCCGCTCTCAATTACTCTAACTTGCTTGCTAATACCCTAAGGCTCAATTTATATTGCGACGGAACGCATTGGAAGCGAACCCCTGCAACGATACTGTACACGGCATAATGAACCCAATGGTCAACTGCACAATGCAGAAACCAGACATGTGCCGAAATCCTCATCCTCAGGGGTAGTTGATTGCTCGACCTTCGGCGAGTGATTTACTTCCATTTTTATTAATTGATTAGAAATCGAATATTTCCATCACAATCAAAAAACAAGTATCTACTCGTACGTGTAATGATTTGAAGGAGGATTGAAAATTAGAATTTCGGAAATTTTACATTTACTTTTATAGGTTGTGTAAGAAAAACCACTAGTAGTATAAGTACACCATGTACTAATCCTACGTATGAAAATATCATCACTCACTATCGTATAAAATATTTTTCTAAAAAATGAACAACGAAATCGCAAAAATAACTGTTATTCCCACTGATCGATTCATTCTATTTAATAATTGATTCGCAGTACAACTGGCCATCACTAAATTGCCTATGGTAGGTTCAGTGACCTGTTTGTTTACTTTTTCTGTATAACAGATTGAAACGAACTTATAGTATTGGCACATGTCCAACAATTTGAAAATTCATTCAAATATTTTTGTAAAGAAATTTCGGTACAGTAAGCAAAATAGTGGGTTTCATAATTCTGATTACCGCAAGTGGTACAGAGACGAATTTAAATCCTTTAAAGGGCGATATGTAATTTTCTAGTATATTGATAATTTATTCACCAGTGCCTCTGATTTACCTTTATAGGGCGATATGATCATGAGATTACAGTGACAGTTATCGCAAGCGACCACGAATTGTTTGAATACAAAATGTTGTTTCTTCTTGGGACCCGCTAGAGGCGTTGTGTAATTTACCATACAAAATAGTGAAGTAATTTACGCGGTCGCTAGCGGCAACTGTAAAATCGTGGTAGAGGCACTGATGATTATATAGTAACTATAATATAGTAATAAAAACATAAAATAAAACGTATATATGCAAGTTATACTTACACGAGTAATTAAAAGTACCAAACGCCCATTTTAGACTGTAGATGGGATATCTTTCTTCATGGAGACATTATTTAAAAGTTAGTAATACTGCATGCAGACTTTTAAAGTTGCTTGCCTCATCTGGGAATAGAACCAACGAATTGAAAAAAAAAAAACCTGCATTTTTATGATGTCGATTGAAAGAGTCAATTACAAGAATTCATTCCTTTTAAGTAGCACAGTATCTTAAATTAAACGAACACTTCTAGAACTCTACTCAATGCTCAAGTCAGGATTGCAATGGAAACACAAGCACTGGAAATACGACCCTAATGGCAGGGACTTGAGTATGATTTTGAGTGCTTTGAGTCATACTCAAATCCTGACTTGAGCATTGAGTAGATTTCTAGAATACGACCCTATGTAATTTTACATTTTTATTATTTAAAGTACTTTTCCTTTGAATCCTACAATCTGGGCCCTATAAGTCTGCTAATTTTAAATCATCTCGCTTGTGAGTCGATAGCAGTCGATAGAGCGTCAGTGACAGGATTTTCTACGTTAGGTATTAAAAATTAAGAGTAGTGGCTTGACAGTGACTTGCCATCAAGCTACTATTCAACTGTCATTGCATTTTTTTGGTATTCTGCTCTTCAATGTCTACTAATTATTTGACATATCTTTCGATCGCTTTTTACTAGAAATTTAAGTGCTTCTACCGATTATCGAGTTTATTTATTTTTTTAAATACATTTAATTTGAGAACTAATTTACCTATTAAACGAGATAAAAATCAAGAAATGAATAGTAATTTTCGTGGTAGTTTCTGATTGAATGAATGCCATCAGTGCCATTTCACTGGCACTCTGTTGAGACTCAACTGCCATTGCAACTAAATTTTAGCAGAATTATCGCGTGTTCATAAGTTTTTAGTAGAGAGAGAGAGACAGCCTTGCGAAAGAGTTCGTTAAGAAGGAATTATTGTCACCTTACCTATTTCTGCCGCCAAGCAGTAATGTCTGCATTACTATGTTCCGGTTTTGAAGGGTAAGGGTGCTGGTGAAATTACAGGCACATGAGTTCTTTGCGATTTAAAACTCTGAGTGGCGCAACTGTTATGGGCAGGCGTGTAGCTTACCAGCAGGCGCACGACTTGTGCGTCCCGTACCTTGATATTAAAAAAATAAAGTTTTGAGACAAACTATGACTTTAACAAATAAAACATAATAATATTGGCAGCTGTTTAATTCTTTGTTCAATTTTGAGTTTGGAATGCCATTGCAACTAGATTTTAGCAGAACAACAAACAGGCGCGGTGCAGTCATTTTGCCGAGTCCCAATAATAAAAAAAAAAAAAAAATTATCACAATTATAATAGAATCTCAGTGGAGTCTGAATGGAATTACAGTGACCAGCAGGGCTAAAAAGGCCGCATTGCCAGAATCATAATATTAATTGACATTTCATATTATAAATTTTCAAAAAAAAAAACAAGAAACACAATTCTATTTGAATGTTCTATGGAGACCTCCATAGAAGACTGTTAAGTGTCCAAGATGAATTGTGTTATATGAATTGTAAGAAATTCTTAATATGAATTGTCAATTAATCGTAATTATTATGATTCTGCCTGTACGGCCTTATTAGTCCGACAGTAGTTTCAAGAAAATTTGCAGGTTGAGACCTGTATATCTAAATTCGCTAAGAAGAATTAATATTGCAAATTAAATTGAAAAATAAAAATATTACAAAATTCGCACAAATCCGTACCAAAATTGAAACGGAATTCCGTGTTATGCGTCAAGAATATTTCAGTTCACTGAATACTTATTGTGCGATATAAGCGACAGTTTAATATCCGGGCACCCTGATGCGTAATTAGCAACGAGTCACTTCGCCTTATGGCTAGCTGAGAAACTGCGGTTTTATTCTATTAACGCTCCAGGATGTGGGATGGTTAAGTTAGTTAAGTGTTACGTACGTATAGGTTTAGTTGTTGAAGGATACGCCTAATAGATTCAAAGTTCATAAGCCACATCAGGTTTAATAAATTGTTGCCTTGGATGAACAGGGTATCAACTCAAAAATTTGTCCTTTTTGTATAATAATGCAATCCTTTTAAAAAATTGAGATCTTTCTAGTGAACAAGGTCTTATAACGATCAGACGTGAAATGGCGCGGGAGGCAGGGTAGTATAGTAGGTAGGGTATCTCTGAACTTTTGCACGTTTTGGCCCCGAAAACTGAGCAACACTGTCATATTAAGTATTACCCACGAAGCTATAGTCGTTAAGACGTCATCATCGTTCCTTGAACAAGGTATAAAAACTGAAACACAGCAAGTGTTCATTGTAAGGTATGTGTAATTTAAAAATATTTATTTCTAAAACGCAGACGATTATTTCAAGGTAATAAATACCTTTATGGAATATTTTTTTCATTGAATAGTTATGGTAATCTATAGTATACAGTATTTTTTTGTGATACTACTATGTTTCTCAAAGTTTTATCGAATTGAACATTATTCCTTCTTTCATTTAAAAGTATTAAGCAAGAATAGTTAAAACTCTGAATAGCAAATATTTTGTGTTCAAAAGGATAATATTATAACCTCTCCGAACAATTTCAGAGTTTTGTCAGAACTACGGAACTGTATAAAAATAAGAAGTATTCGAAAATATTGTTAAATTTCTAGGCTTTAAACATATATAGGTGAGGAGAGCTAAATAACAATAGCGGCTATAAACGATTTTATGATCTTGTTGCAGATACAAAATTACAATAATTCTTGATAGTAATCCGTTTAAAGATCGATTTAAGCTTGTTCGAAATAAATATTTTAAATAATGAATGTGTACAATTGTACAATTTATAAAGAGCAGCCCCTAGAATTTTTTGCTCACTCTTCTCAGGGGAATTTGTTTTAAGAATGAGCAGTAAAGTTTAATAAATATGACGATTTCAAGTGTAATTTGCTTACCTTTGAAATAAAGATGATTAGAGTTTGAGTTTGGTAAAATGTTCAATTGCCATTTACCTAATAATATAGACTTCTTTTGACATACGTAATATGTAGGCAGGTCGAGCAATGTAGCTAACACGAGTGAGATATTAAGCCTTTTACCTGAAACAAAGGAAACAATCAATTAATTGTTTAAATACACTTATTAGCTGTTCACATGCAAATGTTGCGTATTGAATCAGTTTAGTCATTACTATATTTGTGTAGGTGGTAGTTTTCGCTACAAAAAAATAGTTGTCAAAAATGTGCCGTATTTTTGGATAACAGGTCCGTCTGTATATGTTTTTATTTATTACGATACACTGGAATTATCCTTATAAGGAAATCAGGTGATCATAGTTTAACAAATATATCTACGTTATTCATTTCTATGGACAACACGCGCTTGGCCAATAATTGACTATGTCAAAATTGTTTTCACAAAAGTAATGGTTCCTAAGACAGTTTATCCCATACTGTCTCAATTAAGAAACACGTACCATATATAAAAATGATTATTATTCATCCGCTGGCGATAGAACTTTTGTGAGTGTTCGCGCTTCTACTCTAGCGGAGGTACCTTGGAGATGATGAAAACTGCGTGAATTGTGCTTTATATATTATAATTTCAAAACAATACAAAAACAGTGCCACGATTTTGCGAGCGTTATAGCAAAAGTAAAATATATATTAATAAAAATAAATATAAATTTAAAAACGGATACCGTTCAAAAAACGGCTATTGAATGTTGCCGCAGTAAACAAAATATTTTAAAACGCCATCTGGTGAGATGCTTGAACATGCCCCGGCCTTGAAAGCACCAGCTTTCGAAAAAAAAGTCTTGAACTAGCTGTCGAGTAGTGGGCAGATCTTGCTGTAGGCGCGTCTCACGATGCCCGACGCCGTGCGAATGTCGGCCACTCTGGTCACTCCGTCCGAACCAGGGATAATCCTCTCTACACGCCCGAGATGCCACTTGAGGGGTGGAAGGTTATTGTCTTTGATAATGACGAGCATATCTGGTTTCAACGATAGCGCGTCCTTCTTCCTTATGGTTCGTGTTTGGAGCTCGGACAAGTACTCCTTCGCCCATCGAGTCCAGAAGTGTTGACGAATCTGCTCCACTCGTTGGTAGCGGGTAAGCCGATCTGCAGGTACGTTGGTGAGGTCGTCACAAGCAGGCGCAGTAAGGGGCCGGCCGACCAGGAAGTGAGCTGGACTTAAAGGTGAGAAATCATGCGGATCTGCAGACATAAGACTTATAGGACGGGAGTTAAGGACCGCCTCTATTTGTGTCAACACCGTGCTAAACTCTTCAAAGGTTAGATGTGCGTTACCTATGACGCGTCTCGAATGATATTTGCAGGATTTTACACCTGCCTCCCACAGACCACCAAAATGGGGAGCGTAAGGTGGAATAAATGAAAATTTTATACTTTGACTGATTGCACATTGTAATATTTCAGGTGAGCAGTTGTTTAGAAACCGTTTGAATTCGTTCATCAACCCTACATAGTTTCGACCGTTATCGGATAAGATTTCAGCAGGTTTGCCGCGTCTAGAAAGGAAGCGTTTCAATGCTGATAAGTATGCATCGGTGGACAAGTCATTGACAAGTTCTAAATGTATTGCGCGTGTAGTGAAACATATAAAGATGCACTCATAGCATTTTGTTGTTCTAGCACCTCTACCCTTCCGATTTAATATGAGCATTGGCCCGGCGTAATCCACATCGGCACTCTTAAAAGGAAAACCAGAAGGAGCCGCGGTTCTGCGTCTTAAACGTTTGCAGCTTATACAATCGTGCACCACCGCCCTTGCCAGGTTTCTACTACCGATAGGCCACCACTTCCCTCGTATATTGTACAAAAGCGCCTGTGGGCCCGCGTGCAGCAATTGCATGTGCTTATGTCGAAAAATGAGATGAGAATCGGATGTTTCTTGTCTAGTGCGAAAACAGGTGAATTACAAATACGACCACCAACGCGAATAACCCCATTTTCAGCAACAAATAAATTTAATTTTGACAATTTGTGTGTGCTAGGTAAAGTCCCGTCTTTTCGGAGCAATTTATATTCACTTGGGAACGATTCCAATTGAGCTAACCTAGCTAACGTCAGATCGGACAATCTCAATTCATCCACAGTGACAATGCCTGATCGCTCATTACCGTTATTTATTATTCTTTAATTCTGGCAAATCGTCATGCATGTCCTCTGGGTACTTCAAGGGTGCGTCACTACACATAAAATTAGATTGACGCAGGAAAGACGGACCCTCCCACTATAAATTAGAAGATGAAAGGTCTTCCAGGCGAACCCCGCGAGAAACTAAGTCCGCTGGATTCTCCTTGCCACATATGTGACGCCATGGAAGTTCCCCCGTCAATTCGTGTATTTCCGCTGTCCTATTTTGTACAAACGTTTTTTGTAAATTAGGTGACATGTTTAACCAGCCTAATACGATGGTAGAATCAGTCCAAAACATAATGTTGTCGAAGTGACGCTGAAGTGCCGTATATACTTTGTCGTATAGCCGCGCACCTAGTAAATCACCACATAACTCCAACCTCGGAATACTTGGCCGTACCGAAATGTGCGATTTTCGATGATGTAAGTCAAATGCTGGTCCTCCAACGCCTTAAACTCGCTCCGGTCGTCTCTCTGGAATCTCGTCTTGAATTTATTAGGCCGAAATCCCTGCGCGGTCGGGCTGCCCACGTAGAAGTCCAAAGGTCATTGAGTTGAATTTTGTGTTTTATTTGGCTCTGAAGGTACAAACTTGGAGATGATGAAAACTGCGTGAATTGTGCTGTATATTATAATTTCAAAAAAATACAAAAACAGTGCCACGACACAACATTTTTTTTTCAGAGGCATTACGGTTTACAATGTGGACGCTGGAGAGGATGATGGGTTCAGGACGTTTGTAAATTGGTTCTGGAATGGGTGTTCTAGATAGTGCCTCATAATGAATTCTGTTTCCCTGTTACTCGTAGCACGGAGTACTCCCTTCTTTGAGATATGGTAAAAGGTAAGTACCTATATATATA